CCACTGCGGGTCCAATCATAGCGCTCTTGGTGCTACACGCACATTTCTAATTGTGCTGTTTCGATGACGACTAAACAGGGTGGATAAAGTAGCCCTCAACCCTGGGATGCATCTGCACTGTCCTCCATGCACCTGTGAGGTGGACAGATAAGGGAGATATGAATTTTCTCCAAGGGTCAGAGGTATTGTATTGTAAAAAAATCACTTTGCCTACAAATATCACCAAAACTTCTGCAGGATTGTAGTCTGGGCCGGTCCGTTTCTGCCATTAACCTCCAACCTATCATGTCATCGATTTTGATAAATCAAGGCACCAGTCCAGTGTCATGGTTAGGTTTGCTACAGAAGAATAGTCGAGTCTACGAGGACTGCCAGGAGTTGCAAAAATATTCTTCCTCCGTTCACCTGCCATCCTGCAATTTCTAATGTCAGTAAAATGCTTTGGCTTAACTCCATGGGTACATACCCCAAGACGGATCGCTACAGGCATCACGTGGCTGCCATGTCCCTCTGGCCTACCACCAAAAGAAAAGCGTCTAATTTTCACAAGGCGATCCGACGTAGCAGTTTTGCGGCGCTTGGAGCCACATTCACCAAGTTCGGTAAATTTCACAATGAAGTGGCAAAGGTCAAGGACTGCCCCGCCTGCCAGGCTGCCAAGAGCTGGAGGTTCGTCTGAAGTCCTTCTCGACCCATGTGGAATCCTGACGAAACTCTTTCGTTCAACAAAATCTTGCAACTTGGAATTTGCTCCATCTGCCAGCCACTTCACAGCACGAGCGGTGCGTTTCCACCTCAAGACTAGAACGAAGTGAAGCTCCAAAGTTATGTTAACCACGGGCGTGAATTCACTATCTCGGGCGGTGACAGAGTGACCCACCGTCCCACCAATCACAAAGTGGGCACTTCTTACCCATGCAAAGTGCACGTTTTTCGCGCAGCTGCTTTAAATTTAAACAGAAATGAACTCATATTACTTGCCACATTTTAAAACTGAGCTCATTTCATTTATTTAGATTTTTAGTATATTGGACACATGCAATTTCGGATAAGCGCATCTCGTGTCGAAATGCATTTCTATTGTGGAACGAATCTGATAAATGTGCCACAATCGATGACAGCAGGATGATGTAAAGGATTCCATTCAGAGCATATGTTGATTGATATACACTAAGTTAATGCCCTTGTAGCCACACAAGGGTAAGGAGTTTACATTTATAAGATTGGCTTGAATTTTTTTGGTCAAAACACGCATGAGTTTTAGAGGGTCAAATGTCCAATAAACTACAAAAATTCATGATCTTGTTCAAGGCGTGAACTACACCTACTTGGGGAGAAATGAGCGAAATCCAGATCCCACATTGAAATTACTTCTACTTCTCAACTATTTAACATGAACCATTCCACTCAAACTAGTATACCGTACACCCTAAATCCTAAACCTCGAAAAAAAGAAGCGGGGATTGTCTCGTGGATTGATAGAACACAATTTCCATGAGATGCTACAGCCCCATGTAATAAAAGAAAACACCACAATCACCAGGTCAATGTAGAAACCCCACAACCCACGACTGACTTTGCTGCGCCTTTTGGAAACATGCTCGATTGTCTCAATGGACGGTTTGAACATGATCTCAAGGAGCACGTAATACCCGCTTTCCTCACAATTGCTAAGAAATACATGGACTGCATGCACTTGTGCATCGGCAGAGAGACGCAGACACTTTCAATCTTCCATGGGTGTGACTGTGACTGAGAAATGGTGCCGAGTTGGCTTGGATTTACGCTCAGTGGTGTACTGGCCAAGAGTGGGGGCGCGGTAGGTGGGAACACACCGCCACCATATTTAGTGGTGGCAGTTGCTTCACCTCGCACAAAAATGCCAGACTGTTAATTGGAACGTGGTTTTATGAACTGTCTCTCCACTGCTTCGTTGACATCTTCCATGACTTCCCGTCTCCGACAATGGGCCTCCTCATGAAGGAGAGAAGCCAAGTGGATATCATATGACTCACCTAGGGCGCCACTATGCCATAGACATATATTTGCAGGAGGAGGAAATGTTATTGCATTTGTGTTAATTGGGATATAACAACCATGACAAAGGTCATATCACGCATTCAAACCGGGTCTTCTGATCCAGTTTTAAAGTCTTTGTTAGTCTGGTGATTGTGGTGGTGGTGGCTTGGATTGCGTTTGGCTCCTGTCGAAACAGCGAATTCGGATTCCGTTTCTGCAGGGAGACAAACGGTATGAAGCAAGTGGGGCCCTTGTCAAAACCAACTGCCAGAAATTTGTTTCACCCTGGGAACAGTTTTTATGCCGCTTAGCAGAGTTTCAGCAGATAATTCGCCACCTTTGATTCGTAAACAAAACATGTGTGCCGCTTCAGTAGTCTATAATAGGACTGGAGATTGCTTGCCTGGTCCTGGAATTAAGTAATTTTGGGCAGGTGGATGGCTTGTGAGAAGTAAGGCTGGCCAAGAGATGCGCCTGCCAGATCATACATGATTTCATCCTCAGCCCCGTTTTCCCCTAATTTTGGTGCTGATGAGTATGAAAACCTTATTACTTTTCCGCATTTTGTATGAGAATTCCTGCTTTACAATTATAGAAGCATTTACCTATTATGCAAAACAAATTTTTGTCCTTTTTTTTTGTTCTTTTCCGAGGTGGATATCCATCACCACCGAAGCAACTTGGTGTTTGTATTCATGATTGGTTACTCTTGTTGCTTGAGAAAACATAGAAATTGCTTACTTGCTTACTCCCATGAGATAAATGCACCCCAAAACATCTCTAATGAGTATGGTTGCTTACATATACAAATTTCGGTGTGTGTGACGTTCATATACAAAAACATAATTTTATTTTGCAAATTTCTTTTTAGTATAATTATAAAAAACTTGTGTTAAGTTACATTGTTGAACTCAAAGAAATTCCAGTTCTTGGTAAGTGCATTTTAACATATAAAAAGCTTGTATTCGGTTATTCTCCTCCAGTAACAATCATTTGCTTCTTCTTTTCTGTTTTTTCTTAATCCTACATCTTCTGGTCCAGGAGCTTGTCAGCTTAATTTACAACTTGAAAATTGTGGTCATTTCCGAATCTGGGCCAATCTTTTAGAGTCATTATGTACAACTTTGTTCAAAAAGCATAGTTTAAAAAACCTCAGGGAATATATTTCAACTTCATTTTAAACAAAATGTGGTTGAGCAGAAGTTGAAGTTATCATTGACAAATTTCCATCGTGGTCAAAGAGCCACGAGAGGGCGGCATTGAAAATTAATGAAGAAAAAACAACACGGAATCTCATTTGATAATAATAAAAAGTTGCACCATAGTCTTGCTGTCGTTTATAGTCATTTTAATAGGGGACGAGGCCTTGATTTGTCATCTCAAGAAGTTATTCACAAAACAAGGTGTCATTCAACAAATCGATTGCATGGTCAATCATCATCTTAATTTGTAATAGTTGTGCCTTTCCACCAAAACTTTTGATTTTCAAGAGACTGGTTTAGTATTATAATAACAATTACAATAATACACACAACAGAGTATAAGGTATTACAACTTGAAGGAAAATTTTCTGGCTACTTTGCCATATCAGCATATTATTCTTTCTACCCACATGAAATTATAACAACAAAATTTACAATCGATTCCAATGTATTTGAAAAACCAGGAAATTAATGCTCTACATATAACAGAAGAACCGAAAAGTCCTTGGACTTTGACCTTCTTTGGCTGATAGATGGGTTTACCCCTAAGTAAGTACTGTGTCGAATCTATAAATAATCCCACAGTACATATACAGAGAGAAATAAAATTTTAAAAATAAGAAAAATATGAAAAGAAGTAAGATAGATCTGTAAAATAATGTGGACTTATTTGCAAAGTCCTAGAAATTCTTGAAAAGGACGTAACATACTTTTCTTCCACTGTTGTGAAGATTTTTTTTTCGAGCACTTGGTTATCTCGATTTCTTTGCAACCTTTGAATCCGAACATGGTCACATCTTTTCCCTCTTTTTTTTTTAATTGCTTCTTCTTCAAGCTGTAGAAAAGAAATTTCCGTGTAATTTTGCACACACAGGAGTAACACACATGTCTAAAAACCCTTCCTTTTTCACATACTTATAAATAGGGCTTCACCTTGCAGTACAAGGCGAGAAGATTCCAAGCCTCTTTCACACTGGGTGAGGGAAAACAAAGGTCTCGGAAAGGTTTCACATTCTCTCATCACCCTCTCACTTAGATTGCAAGGCATGAGATTTCGAGTCGTCCGGTCGAAGAAAAACCAAAGAATCTAGATCCCCAATTGCAAACACGTCCTCTAATACTCTTCTCAGATTACCCCACAATTTTTTTCCAGAGTGATAATTTCCCAGGTGATATCAAAGCACATGATATCACCTGCCTTGTACAGAGACGGCTATTATAGTAGAAGCGATTACATGTGCGCCAATATAGCGTACATTCTCGTAGGGTGGGCTACCATTTTGTCAGTCGTCATCATCACCGCCAACGACCATCGATTGACGGCTCAGGATTAAACTACCAATTCGGGCGTCTCTTCAAAATTGCAAAACAAATGAATAATTTCATTTAGCGAGAAAAACTCGCTCCGTGGGCGGTCAGTTACCATCCATTTGTCTTGATCAACTACCGCAGGAAAATGTTGCGTTTGTAAGCGGCAACGGATGTAAATTCCTGGGGTTGGTTTCTCACCGCGCCTACTTCCCCAAATGCCTGTGTCTCCCTCACAGAAGCTATCAGCGTAGCCAGATTTTTTGGTATTAAAAGCAGTGTTAGCATCCAGTAACCCTGAGCGGGTGATGTGGCTCAAGTGGAAGCGGGAGAGAAGGTTCGTTTAGGGGTGAAGCTAGGAAAGGAACTGTTTTCTCAGCCGCCAGTGGGTGAGGGGCAATCCGGGCCAAGACTTTTGCGCCATCTCCTGAAAGGTGGGTACTAGGATGGACGAAGCCACTGCACAAAACCCCACCCACAATCGTCCAACATGATGTTTTCCTTCGTCACCCGGTTTCTGCCGTTTTCTACCTCCGCTACCTCTGCACCTGTTCGTCTACAATAAACCCGTCGTCAGTCTTTGTCTAGTTGCTGTTGTTGTGTTCCTCCTCTTGTAACATCCTCTTTGGTACGGAAGTCAAGCTGTATCACACCTATTGCGTCTTGCTGAGGTGCAATCGGATCATGCATGCGATGCTCCCCATGATCTAAATAGGCTTGTATCAAAAACCTCCTGGTTCCTCTCTCTTATGGGGAAGTTCTGATTTTTCCGCTAGTGTCGAAGAACATTTGTTGATCGATTCAATCTAGCTGTCTGCAACCTCCTAGCCACCGTCAGCCGTGTGCCTGGTTGCAATTATATTGGTAAGGCCTCAGATCACATCTGGGGTTGCTTACACATCTTGCTTGTGAAGTCTGAGTGCTAATCAAACTCTGAGTGCTTCCGGTGGTCGCAGTGAGGACATAACTGATAAAACATCAGCTTGTAAGACGATGCGGTGCGGAAGATCCATTCAGTTGACGACGATTTATGGTTTGTGTGAGATGCATAGACACGTTGCAGAATCTGTTGTCGGGTGACTGATAGCCATCGTTTTGATCAGTGTTGAATGTTGATATACCTTTTGCAGGACCTCAAACTTTCGTGAGATGCCCGCGCTCATACCTTTCTAATCATCCGCGGGGTTTTTACTTCAAGAAACTGGAGAAATTAGAGTTTAGAGAGAGGACATTGGTCATGCGAGTTACAATCGCACCTGATCTTCGGTATTCTGTGCAATCGAAGTCCCACAATTCCGAAAGCCGTAGTATAGAAACTTTGTGTGTCAACTAATGTGATCCCTCCCTCCAAATAGGTTACGCAAGTACTCTCAATATTTGCAGTTGTAGTAGTATATGATCTAATCGGGCACGTAAAGCTGTGCTCATTTCCTCTCTTCAGGCCTAAGCCACAGTTGCTTGTTCTTTCATAGAAGCGTTTGTGGGGTAAGCTCTAGCAAGTACCGCGCTGGGTGAGTGACCTTCTGTCGTTAGGTCTGAATCTTGCAGCTTGCGTATCTATCGCTAAATCGCTCCCGGTGACTCTGTGCTCATTCTCTCGTGATTCACTTTACTTTTGGCACGTTTAGCAAGTTCTGCCAGTTTCCTAAGGATCTCGTCATTCTATGTGCCGATCCTACGGTTGGTCCGTCTCCCTGTGAGGTCCCACAACTTCGTCAGCCTCGCGTCACAAGCAGATTTCTTGTGCGAGTTCTCCACCTGATCATCGACGAACAGTTCTTGGTTCTATCTGGTTCACTCATCAGACAGACGCTTTAATCTCTCAAATCATTACCCGAGAAAGCTACCACTCCACCTTGATATTCAACCCAAGGATTATCTGTACAAACAGCATTCCTGTGAAAAGTATGTGCAACGGCAAGAACACCATCGAGATGCAGCAAGATTCCAACCTTGAACTTCCGCCGGGGTTTCGCTTTCATCCTACAGACGATGAGCTTGTGAGCTTCTACCTGGTCCGGAAGATTAGCAACCCTCAAGTCGTTGTGAAGACGATTCCAAACGTGGACCTCAACAAGTGCGAGCCTTGGGATCTTCCAGGTATTTTTTTCTTTTCGCATTATCCTTCAGAACATTTGGTGTAGACCTAACAATTGTGTTATTCGTGTAGTAGGAAACCTGATACGAAATTTAGTGTAAGATTCGCATGATCTACAGAATGCTTTATTTGTGGGATAAAGCTGCTCCGTCTCGATGATTTTGCAGATAAGGCCAAGGTTGGAGAGAAGGAATGGTACTTCTTCAGTCTGCGTGACCGAAAATACCCAACCGGCCAGCGAACTAACAGAGCCACTGATAAGGGATACTGGAAAGCCACAGGCAAAGACAGGGATGTCATGAATTCTGGCACCCATTGTCTGGTGGGCATGAAGAAGACTTTGGTGTTCTACATGGGCCGCGCGCCAAAGGGCTTGAAAACTAACTGGATCATGCACGAATATCGCCTGGGGAGTGACTCCAGCAACCACTTCAACGGCCAACAATCCCACCGATACAAGGTTTGTCCTCGTCGTCCTTCTTCTTCTTCTTCTTCTTCTTCCTGTTTTTTTTTTTTTTTTTTTTTTTTTTCTGTGATGTTGTCATAAGCCGGTTTTTGCAGCAAACACTTGCTAGATTTGTTTTTAGCTTCTGTGTGCTACTTCCCAGAATCCTTTCAACATGAGACTGAAAGTTCAGCGGTTCAATGATGCAGAATAACGAATGGGTGGTCTGCCGAGTCTTCCAGAAGACGGGTGGCAGCAAGACGCTCGGTCTTAGCTCCACTGATAAGGCATCTTACCAACCAGCTGCTCACTTGCATTACGCGCTTCCTGGCAATCACCGCGACAGCTCGCCGAACCCTACTGTAACCGACTCGGACGATGGAGACACATGCACTGCTGCCGAGTCCTGCCACAACTCTCAGGATAGCTATCTAGATGCCGGTGTCTATGTTGCTCAAATGTTGACGCAAGGGGACGTCACGTCCGTCGGAGCACCTCAATGGGCTGCACCAGGGTCGGTTCCAATGGCTACCCCTGTAATGGACATCCAGCCTCACAACACTATGAAGGAGTCCTATTACAACCATCAGAACGGCGCAAACATGTCAATGCTATTCTCTCCACCTCCTCAGAACATGGTGAGCTATCCCCTGATCCCCCACATCGGCAACCGCATGCGGCCCAAGCAGGAACCATTCTACCCCACGACCTGTGCAGGAGAGGATGAAGCAGAAAGCAGCCAGAAGTTGAATAAACTCGACTACGCATGGACTGGTGACGTGCTCAACCCAGAGTACTACCCTTGCGACAGTCCCTTGACTCCATTGCAGTCAATCGTTGGGGAGAGCGGCCAAACTTCGTCCTGTCTTACGGATGGGAATGCACTCCATAACCGTGCCTTTAGAGGCAGCTTTTCTGGATTTCAGGAGATGGCTGGACCCATCGAATTGACGACGCAAGAATGGGCTTACTGAGTAGCCGCTGCATTCGAGCTTCAGGGTTGCCGTTTTGTGCTTGTTATTAAGGTCCGCCTTGCCTCAGTTGGGTCAACATACTGTACAAAGCATACACACAGAGGATTGATTAACATTTTGAATGTAAATTGAATGCTGGGATTGGTCAGACCATAGTTTCCATATTGGTGTACATTATGGTTTCTAGGCAAGCAGCACCTATTAAAAGCTGCTATTGTCTGACTACTCGCTTGGACAACAACGACCGACCTTCAAAAGGTTTTGGTTACACATTGGCAACAGATTTTGTGTCGAAAGAATGACGAAGGGTATCAATTCCGGACCTGCAGCTTGGTGATTAATCCAACGTCCTTCAAGTGGAGAAGCAAGGATCCGGTGTTCATCGTGCACTCCGGAACTGATCTTCATCCTGTTGCTTACATTGTAGACCGGCTTGCCTCTGTAACTTCATAAACATCGACAAGGAGCTCGCCATCTTGCAGCAGTTCATATGAACTGGGCCTAGGTTGTCCACAATTTAGTTGTAAGATTTTCAGGTATTCATAGGCATGATTGATTGAGCATCGGCTTGCCAGATCGATGGAACCGAAGAGTAGGACGTTAGTGCCTTGTATTGTAAGGCAAAGGAAACATGTTCATACATAAATTGCTTTGTGTGCATGTAGCCAAGTTGCAAACATGGCTTAGTTAAACGCAAGAGTACATCTATAAATTAGTTGTGATTGATTAATTCTTGAATGTCTCCTTTATGAATGGAAAATTAAAATATTATCGGTTGATTCCATACATCACGCGTCCGCTGTACCAGACTCTTCACGAAAACTAGACGATGATGTTGTTCCCAATTTTCAAGTCAATTCACTCTATTTCATTCAAGGCTAAAGCTGCGCAGAACGTAGCGCTCTGCATCAGAGTCAGGTTATGTTGTAGATTATTTGCGAAGCATTTGTGCACTAATTACTACAGTTCGTGAGGAGATTTTCTCTTGTGATGATCTTAGCTGTACGGAGAGAGGAATAACATCAACATGTGCCTCTTGGGGGAGTCGCCCACAACTTGGCAACTAGCCACGACTCGCCGCTTGGACTACTGTGGCAGCAACTGGTGTGGCATCAGCTTGGGTTTGATTATTCCCTTCAGTTAGCTTCTGTGCTGTCACAAGTGGTCCAGATATTTAAGTTGATCTGCACCCTGTCCGTCAACTTGATAGTTCTCACGACTCACTATGCACATATCCTGCTGAGAAAGTGCACCTCAGAATCAGATGAAACTTAGAAAGTGGGGGGCAAGCTTCGTGCTATAGAAAAAATTCGATCTCTTGTCACTCGAAGAACAATGAAGCAAAGTCAGTTTAGGACTTTTAGTCTCAATGCAGATTCTTACAGTTTTTTTTTTTCTAGTTGATCTTATGGGGTTGCTGGATCAATGCGATGAATCTACATTTGTTTGAACGCCTAGTTTTGGCAGTTAGTGGGTGTCCGGCGTAAATATCATGCCATTTGAAGTCGCACCTTAAGTAATAGACCAGGCTGTGAAATTCTTTCCTGCAGAGTTTCTTGCTGTGCAAGAGATGTGAGATTCTATTATTAGACTCATATGTAGTTTCTCGTTAGCCACGTTTTCTTCTCAAGGAAGCATTTCCAAACACCATGCTATGCTAAGAAGTAGAGCTTCCGGCAGACATTGCTGCTCTTCAGACGATAATCAAGGCACAGACACTGGTGGGGACGGTTCCCATGAACTTAATTGCATAAGTCCAACTAAGCCTATGAAGCCTTCCTTGAGTACACCTGGAGCAGATTCTCATATTAATGCACCACAATTTTTTATCTTATTTCACTTCTCATTTCGTGCAATCAACTGGAAAGCAATGATAGTTTCCAGAGAACACCAGAGAACACTGCACAATTGTCAATGTTGTCACGACTCTTTGTTATGTAATTCTTAAAGCACTCAATTTTTTGGTACATATATACATACACACATTAATATTGAAACTAATTCAATGAGTGTATGGGCATTTGAACATCATTTGTGGACAAAGCATGTAAGGTCATAGAGGAACAGTGAATATGACAATATTTACTATAAGGTGCCACTTAGGACAGCATGCCCACTAAGTGAAAACAGCCTGCAGGAATAACCATTTTATAATATTCACATAATTTGGGTTGAAGTATGTCCATCAAAACTCCCAAAAAAAAAATCATGTTTTAAATCCTGATGTACTCCAGAAGTTGCAGCGTTTTTTTTTTTCACATGTTTATGTTTATTTGCAAGCAAACTTGTTGGACCAGAATTGCCAAGTTGGCTGAATTTGTAATAATAAAAAATGTTTGTGACATGGAATCATTTACAAACTTGTGAGCAAACTTCTCATAGACAACCCTTTAAAATACCATACAAAGACCCACCTATAATTTCCAATATACATTCCATGCACATAATAAATTATCATGTAATTAAAATAACAAGTTTAAAGAGTATTGTTGGACATGTAGACTTTAAGTTATCAATACCATATACTAACATATTTAAGTCTAGGTAAAATCTGTAACTTACATTTTCATTAAATACATCATGATGTTTTGATTAATGATGTATTTAATGAAAATTTATATTTTTTTATTAATTTTGATCAAACTTGAAAATTTCTTAAAAATTCAAGTTTATGAATCACTTATTATTTTGAATTTTTATATAATTGGACTAAAAATCTAAAATATAGAAGAAATAATTAAAATAAATCCATATTTTTTTACATTTAGTTATTATGTATTAATTTGTAGACTCTAATTTTTTGTTGTAAGTAAAGAAAAATAAAATTTTCAAATATTTTTTTTTTATATAAAAGCAAAGAGGTTATTTTAAAAAGAAAATAATTGTAAAATATATTATGGCTATGGCTGAAATTTTTCAAAGATCTTCTTTCGAATTTGTTACTTTTATTTATTAAATATATTAATACAAGATCTTATAATTTTAAAATTATGTTAAAATTTTAAAAATTAATGTATATATATATATATATGTTTGAAAATAAATCATTCAAATTTATTTTATTTTAAAATAATTAAATAAATTACAAAAATAAATTAGTATGAAAAACAATTAAATTTCTAAAGTCATTATATTTGTATTAATTTATAATTTAAAGTATAATATATTTAAAAAAAATTAATTTTTTTATAGTTATGTATTGTATTTTTGAATAATTAGTATAAATAGAGTATGATAGGCTTAAATGTCATTAATAGTTGTTTGATGGAGATTGTAATGTCAAGGATGTTAGATACAAAAATTATATGTATGTTTAATAAAATTTTAACAAAGTAGTATTATTGTAAATTTATTTTTTTTGAACATGTGTGACTTTGTGTTATTAATTTGTAGCAATGGTATTATTTTTTATTAGTTTTTTATCAATATAATATACTTTCTAATGTGACAAATAAATAGAGGATTCTATTGTTGAAGAATAGAAGTATAATAATGTAAATACAAGGTGCTTACCACTCAAGTAACAAGAATATACAAGAATTAGAAATAGCTAAAATGATGAGTCTTGAGTTTAAGTTCTTATACTTCTAGTATATTGTCTAATTGCATGAACTTTCGAGTGTAAAAATATTAACATTTAAAATATTTAAAGATATCTAGTTGATATGTAAATACTAAGTTTATTAGGCTACATGGTAGCTTGATAAGCTATAATATCTATAACACCAAAAATGGCTAATAATATCATTAGTATATTGCAACTATAATTTTTCATCAAACAATGCAATGTCCACTGCTCATATTATATTATTTCTAATACAATTTATTTACTCTATTAATAATTCTACTAAATAATCTATGAAACTAAGTTCATTGCATAAGATCCATTATTTTTTTACATTTATGATATTTCTCATAAATTAGATATTTTTTCAAAACATTTGCAACTATGTCTTCAATCTTAAAAAAGATTAAACTGATAATGTTGTTTTTAATCTTCTACAAATAAAGTAATGCTAGATTTTAACATACTTAATCTAAGAGCAGAATATAGAATTCTTTGAAAAACAATAAAACCCTGGTTGTTACTAAAATTAATCATAGGACTATTTTGCAAAAATTTAATGTCTTTAAATAAACCTTTGAAGCCAAATTGCTTCTTTTTTTATATAAGTAATTATCATATAGTCTAGTTTGGTAGTAAACAATGCAAATGTTGGTTCTTTTTTACTATTCCAATTGATTGTGTTATTAGCCAACAAAAACATATAATTTGTATTGCAATTTTTAACTACTTCTAAACTCAAGAAACTTCCACCATACTAAAACACATGCTTTGATATATCTTGTAAATATTAAAATATATGTTTTATGGCTATCCTATATTATGTTTTAAGATTTTCTATGTATTAGATAATAATTCCTATTAGATACAAAAAATTGGCCCAAGTACTTATCATTGTGTAGACCAAATTTTCAAATATATTTTGGTATAGAATTCCTTCATTGTTTCAACATCCTTAGGAATTTGTGAATTTAGATTTCTTAATAATTTTCTCTTAGAATCCAAAGATATAATAAAAAATATATATATATATATATATATATATATATATATATTTAATTAAAATAAATTTTATAAGTCCTTTGCTTTCTCATAATTTGTACGCCTAAGATAAAATAGAATTCTTCAAATCCTTCATTTCATGCCTTAAAAGATTGCTTGAACTTATTATAGTTTTAGAGAGTTTACACACCAAGTATTTTTCATCCACTCATATAATCTTATAGTTAGTCTCTGTCTCTCTCTCTCTCTATATATATTTTTCATATTGAAGATATAAAAGACTTAAAAGAAACCAAAGTTGTTATTGATTTATCAATTATTGATTGTTATTCTAATAGATGTATTTGTGCATGCATAATTATTGATCAAGGTGAAAATAGATGCAGGCTTAAAAATAGATATAGAGCCTTATATTTTTTTATTGAATGCATGAACTTGTATTTGAATCTTCTAATTAAATATTAGGATTTAATAATTTTTTATTGTGGAACTTGGTAATTTTCTAATTCTTCCATTACATCTTTATTATTGCTTTTGGATTTTAATAAAGAGCCAATAGGATCTATCTTCATTATAGCATCTTAAAAATTATTAATAGAAATCCTTCACATCCAATTTTTTGCTAAAAATATTCACAGTCAGCGGACTTAACATTTTGTCTCTTAATAATAGAGCTATTTTTAATGTCATATAAATATAAGCACTTAATATTCTCAACATTTCAATGAATATATATTTTTTATATTTAGCTTCAATCTTTGTGTATTTTTATTTGTAATATGTATACATGCATCACATTAAAAAATACCAAGAAGTTAAATCAAAGGTTTTATACTTAATCAAACTTTTTAGAATGTTTTTCCTTCCTTAGATATATTAGAAGCTTGATTAAAGATATTTATTTCTTTGTTAATGGCATTTTTTTAATATACATTTAAAAGCTATGTATATTATAGAATGCATCTTATACTAGCAAAAAAAAATTCTAATTCTTGTATTTTACAACTATATTTAGGTGAAGCATATAAGATGCTAAAAATTATTGTTTAATATTATATTGATTGAATTTTTTTTAAAAGCCTTAAATATAACATTAAAGCCATTATTACTGCATAATTTTTAAATTTTTAAGTCTATTTTTTCTCTAGTATAGCTTTAAAAATCATAATATTATCCAAGACTTTTGACTTTTGATTCATAAAATATATATAAGTCTTTT